AATGTGCCATGTTCACTAGAGAAGAATGTATAAGCAGCTGTTTTGGGATGGAACGCTCTGTAAATGTCAATTATGTCTTGTTGGTCTAATGTGTCAATTAAAGATGTTATTTACATATTTATTTTCTGCTTGGATGATCTGTCCATATGCGACAGTGGGGTATTAAGTTCCCTACTACGATAGTGTTTTGGTCTTTTTCTCCCTTTAGTTCTGTTAGTAACCGCTTTACATATTTCGGGGCTCCCTGATTGGGAGCATAGATATTAATAAGTGTTAAATATTTTTTTTTTATCCATTCTGCAACTCTGTGCCTTTTTATTGGTGAGTTCAGACATTTACATTTAGGGTGATTATTGAAATATGAGGTCTTCTTATAGCCATTTTATCTTTTGCTTTCTGGAAGCTCGGTGTTTCCATTGCTTCTTTGTCCTTGTGTTTCTGTTTTCTTTATTTTGTTTGGCTTTTGTGGGTTTTCCCTCTGGTCCTTCTTGTTTTATGTTATATTCTATGTTCTGAATCTTTGGTTTGTGGTTACTATTACGAATATGTAAAGGATGGTTATATATAACAGTCATCCATTTTCTTCTGCATGTGCTTTATCTCCATTCCCCTTTGCGAATTTGGATCTTTAAGTCTTCCCCTTTTCAGTCATTGTTATTTCCGTTTGTCCCTATTTATGCTGAACATTCATTACTATCTTGCTATAGTAATTCTTTTCTTATTATTTAAGCTTATAATGTCCTGTTCTTTGTAAGGATTGCACTCCTTTGCCTCTATTTGCCTCATAGTCACTTTACTCCTACATATGAACATTTTTTTGTCATTTTGTTTTAGGTGAGCTGACCCCTTGACCCCTTTCAGTATTTCCTGTCGTGCAGTTCTTGTAGTGGAGAATTCTTTCAGTTTTTGTATGTCAGGACAGGTCTTAATTTCTTTTTCATATCTAAAGGATATCTTCGCTGGATACATTATTCTAGGCTGGTAGTTCCTTTCACTTAATAGTTTAAATATTTGATTCTATTCCTTTTTGGCTTGTAAGGTTTGCTCTGAGAAGTCCGAGGGTAATCTAAGTTACCATCATAAATTATAAGTGACCGTTTTATAAATTACTGTTTGCTTCTCCCTGGCTGCCCTGAGAATTCTATCTTTGTTGATTTTTGATCATTTTAATACAGTGTGTATTGGTGAAGGCCTTTTTAGGTTGAGATAATTGGGTGTTCTGTTAACTTCTTGAATTCCGAGCTCCCACTCATTCCTTAGATATAGGAAATTCTCATCCACTATTTGTCCGAAAATACTTTCTAGTCCCTGCTCCTTTTCCTCGCCTTCAGTAATGCCCATTATTGTTATGTTTCTTCTCTTGATTTTATCAGCTAGTTCTTGTATTTCTTTTTCATTATTTTTCATTCTTCTGTTCCTCTTCCTTCTGATTTATTTCTAAATTTCTGAGTTCGATATCACTGTTCTTTTCCTCCATTTGGTTGACTCTATTTCCCAAACTTGCTATTTCATTTTTCAATTCTTGCAATGTGTTTTTTTACCTCCAGAAGATCTATTCTGGGTTTTTTTGTTTTTTGTTTTTGTTGTTTGTTTGTTTGTTTTTTTGAGGGTTCCAGTCTCCTTGCTCTGCTCATCTAGTTTTTTCAGTTTCCAAAATTGTTGATATGACTCATTTCGGAACTCGAAGTTTTTCAAAAGTACCATCCTGAATTCTCTGTCATTTAAGTCATATATTTCTATGTCTGTAAGCTTATTTTCTGGGGATTTTTTTCTTTCTTTCTGAGATGCTTTGTCACCTTGGTTATTCATGGTGTTTAATGGACTATTTCTCCGGGTGGGCATTAATGGAAGTATATTCTGCTATTTTTCCAGAAAGAAGATTTATTATATAAAGGCCTCTCTTTAGCCTGCTGCAAAGAAGGCGCTTTTCTTTTGGTTTCTAGTAGGTGACATCTAAGCCTCTTGGATCCTTGCTTTATATAAAGCCTAAATAATACCTTTTTTATTTTCTTGTAGATATTTAATCATGCTCGCTACCCTCAGTTTCAGTCCCTGTCAATATCAGTGACAGTCAGTCTCAGCAGTGTTTGCTCAGATTCCCGTGGGGCTCCTCAGTGATCAGTCTCAGAGAGTATGGGGGGAGGGACCCTCTGGATTGGGAGTTGGGAGCTGAGGCTCAGCCCAGTTTTGCAACCATGCTTGAAAAAATCAACTGTTGTTTCTCTGTGGTCCCGTCCCACTTCTCTGTTTTCTGCCCTGGTGACTGGACCCTGCCGCCGGCTGCGTGGAACTCACAGCACTTCCAGGCAGTGCTGTTCAGAGAAGTCATTGCACCTTCTCCCCTCCCCGTCCTTCTGCAGGAAGCTGCTAGAGGCAGTTTCTTTATTTCTCCCAATCCACTGCCCGATACCCGGAGTTCTGACCTATGGTAGCTCTTAAGTGCAGATCCTATGCTCAGACGTGCTGGTGTGCAGTTTGGGTGTTTTTTGTTGTGTTTTAGATGTTCAGCTTATTGTTGTTTCAAGGAGAGAGATCTGAGGACATCTCTCACTCCTCCATGTTTCTCTGCGATACAGCTCCACTCAAGATGATTTTAAAGATAATTCATTTCTATTCTTCTCAGTCTGCCACCATTGATTGTTTTACTCACATTTTCCTTTTTAGATCAGGTTTAGTAATTTATTCCTTCCTAGAAAATTGTCCATTTCATTGAGATTTCAAAACTTATTAACATACACTTGTATATACTAGTTTTGTTTTGTCTCTTTATCTATAGTACTATTTAAATTTCTATATTATTCCTTTCAACTAGACCAAAGATAAACCTGCTTTTTTTCTTCCCAGAGTACCAACTCCTGGATAATTTGATACATTTTGCTATATAGTTATCATTTTTTTAATGTTTTTTAAAAACTATGTTGATGTCCTGTTTTGACATGGTAGCTTATAAATGATTTTATTCTCGGGGAAATGATTACCTAGATCCAATCTGTTAATTTCTACAATGATTCTTTCTTTGTTGTTTTTAGGCACGAGATGTGCGTACCAATGAAGTGGTGGCTATCAAGAAAATGTCTTATAGTGGAAAGCAGTCTACTGAGGTAGGTGTGAAATATATATGTTCTTACTGTTATGTTAGAAAATAACATACTATTTTTGATTGGGAGTAGGTGGAAATTTTCCCAAAATATACATGAGGAAAAATGTACAAATATTAAGTGTATATATTAGTGAATTTCTTTTCACATACTGAATGTACCCATTTAACTTGTACCTAGAGCCATAAACAGAGCATTACTGGCATCACAAAAGCCTCCCAACATGTGCCCCCTACTTACAATTTTTTAAGCTGTGGTTTAATATATTATTCTGTATTAGACTGTCAGTTTCCAAAGTAGTAAACTAGAATAAGATGTATTTGACAGTAAATATATTGGATATAATTTTTTAATGTTTTAGAGATTATTTAAGTACTGTTTTAATCTTTAAATAACAGGCAGTATATATCTAGTCTGATAAATAAGCAGTATGTAATAATCTGAAAAACCAAAATGTAAAATTATTGATACTATGTTGAGTGTACTTTAGTTTGCTAATATTCTGATTAGTTCTTTTGAGATTATTTTATTTAATTTTATAAGATGCAGTCTACTTTCTAAATCTAGGATCTGTCAGTCTTTAATTTTTAAAAAATTTTAATTATTTTTAATTGTGGTAAAATATACAAACAAAATTTACCATCTAAACCATCTTTAAATGTATACAGTTCAGTGGCATTAGGTACATTCATGTTGCCATTCATCTCCAGAAATCCTTTCATATAAATAATAACTCCCCATTCTCTTCTCCCCAAGCCCCTGAAAATCACCATTCTACATTTCGTCTCTGTGAATTTTACTACTTTAGGTTAATTCGTATAAGTGAAATAATACAGTATTCATGCTTTTGTGACTGACTTATTTCACTTAACGTCCTCAAAGCCCATCATGTTTTAGTATGTGTCAGAATTTCCTTCATTTTAATGTTAATAATATTTCTCTGTGTTTGTGTGTGTCTGTGTGTATGTATATTTGTATAAAACATACCACATTTTGTTTATCCATTCATTTATCTGACAATGGACACTTGGGTTCTTTTACCCCTTGGTTATTATGAATAATGCTATTATGAACATGGGTATACAAATATTTCTTTGAGTCCCTGTGCTCAATAGTTTTGGGTATGTGCCCAGAGGTAGAATTACTGGATCAGTCTTTAAATTTTTTTTTTTTTAAGTCTTTAATTTTTAAAGATTTTTATTTTCTACTTTTTTGGAATGTCTTTATTTTATGGTAAATCTTGTTTTTGTGATCATACTATAGGTATGATAACACTATTATGATTATGTCACTGTTTCATCATTTTGATACCTAAAAATTACCATTTTTTATATCTTTACTCTAATTTTATTCACTATTCTGTAGCACAACTTTAGAACTAGTTTTCACAGGCCAACTTGTGCTATGTTGGAGTCTGATTAGTCACAGAACAAAAAGTTTCATTTAGGATATCATCTTTTCACATCTAATATTAGCGTCCTTCATGAAAGTTTTTAACGTTGGAGACTACAAGTTTTTATTTTGTTTTCAGAATTTGTCTCCCAGAGCATTCAGATTTGAAATTTAAAGCCCATGAAACATTTTCTGAATTTACCATCTTATATCATATACATTTGATATAAAACACTGTAAATTTATTTTGCTGTATTTTGTTGAGGGCTTGTGAAATAACATAGGAGTTATATGCTCTTATAGTACAAAACATTTTCTATTACGTTAGTTTACGTGCCTTTAGAAATATGGCCCAAGTCAGTGGTAAAGCTTGAAAAAACTAAAACAAGAACAAAAAATAAATTCCTGCTTCTCATCCCATACCTATTAAGCCTATATACCCAAGGACCTGTGTTTTTAGAGTTCCTTGATTACTTCTTAAGAGTAATTACATTTAGAATATGGCCTAAATATATCATTTATGACCAGTGGTTTATCTGTATTGCCTAGTAGGTGTCAATGAGAAAAGCTCTTAGTAAAATATGTAGGAAAATGTTTTTATAATTCTTATTTTTTTCTATTAACTTTCCTATGTAATAGCTAATTGTTCACTAACATTTTAGAAAGTGTGCATTTACAAATTTAAGTCTCAGAGTAATTACTTCATTTGAGTTTAAAAAACAAACAAGACCTTAACATTTGGTAGGATATATAAGTCAAAAACACAATAGGTGAACTTTATGGTATATAAATTATATGTCAATAAAGCTGCAAGTAAGAAAGGGGAAATTGAATTTTGAAGAAAAATCACTTAAGTATGGTATATAATTTTTAACAACATGTGTGGTGTGTAGTTGTAAATTTTTAATAAGTCTCACTGATAATGTTTTATGAGACTAAAAATTGTCCTACCTTGAATAATTTTATAAATTATATAATTGAGTTGTAAACTATATGAATATAATTTTTTTTAAACTTGATATTTTGACATTTAATCTAAATATGACAAATAGAGCAAAGTCACATTTTCTCATTGACCCTTAAGCAATTACTTTTTCTTAGTAAATTTGTAAGGAAAAGCAGCTGTTTATAATTCTTTACTCCTTTTTTCTTCCCACAGAAATGGCAGGATATTATTAAGGAAGTCAAGTTTCTGCAAAGAATAAAACATCCCAACAGTATAGAATACAAAGGCTGCTATTTACGTGAGCACACAGCATGGGTAGGTATTTGTTCCCCTTGTCATAGTTGATTTTGGCATAGAATTAATTAATTTAAGAATGTCTCTTAATGGTTATGTGAAGCTTGCAAAAACATCTTGAAATGTAGGAAATGCAGACATCAGTAAGGTAATGGCTATGTGTAGAGCCAGAGGGAAGGTAATCAGGGGGATTGTTTCATAAACTTTATAAATATCTAACCAATGTACTGTATACTTGAAACTAATAATAAAATAATTTTTAAAAAAGTACTTACAATGCTATTTCATACTGAGAAAGGAAGAGCAGCTTTTCCTAGAACTCCTAGGCAATAAGAGATAATAGAATTTTTGCAAGTTTACTATAGAGTTTTAGCTGACCTTTATGTGCATGGTAAAATGTTCTTTGACATTTTTTAGTAGTTTGAAACTACTAAATGGTTTAGCAAACATTGTGACAGCAATTCTGTTACTCTAAAATGAAAGTTATTGTATCTTTTTGACATAAATATATTGTAATATATTTAGCCACCTAGTTCATGGTGATGTCTTGGTGAATAATGGTAAAATTTGAACTGATTATGATTCCTCTGCTGAATAAAGGTAGAGAATTGAGACACTTTATTACAAGAAGTGGAGATTAATTTTGCCCTGTTGTTACCAATGAGGTGACAAGGTTGTAATTCTACAATGCTATAGGCATAATAACTGAATCATTTAAGAGAAAGGCTAAATTTTCTTTAAACAAGAATGATCCCTTATTTTGAATAATGAATAAGCCACAGCTATTTATTTTAGTGTACTAAACTTAGATTTGGATTTGTATTCTTTGATGCATTTTTATCCAGTTTGATTTTGGTGGTGGTGTTTGTAGTGATACTCCTAAACTTAAGACTATGGTTAAAGAAAAAGCAGCAACCCTGGGCTTGTTGCTTCTCTGTCTCTCAAGTTTCTTCTCTGTAAAATAAGGAAATAATAGGGCCTATCTAATAAGGTGGATTAAATTAATTAATATATATAAAATACCTGGCACATAGGAGGTACTCCTTGCTTTAAATTAAACATTTAAACTATAACCTAAACTTTGTACTTGTAGTTCCAGAGGACAGTTTTCTGCTCCCTAACTATTACCAGTATTGCTATTATAGGTTAATAGTAACAGAATATATATATTTCTTTATAATTTTAGTTAGTAATATATATGAAATACACATCTTGTACAAGTGATTACATGTTGGTATCATAAAAAATTAAAGTATTGTTGGCTTGACTTTATATATGCATTTAACAAATTGCTAAAATACATAAATATTTTTTTAAGTTAAATGATGACTAGAATTTATGTCTATCTTCTTGATCTCCTTGGTGAATTTATTCTATCTCAAATAGAATCTTTTCAGTAATATATTTTAATGCTTTTAAAATTTTTCTTCCCATATAGCTCGTAATGGAATATTGTTTAGGATCCGCTTCAGATTTGCTGGAAGGTAGGTTTCCTTTAAATAGGAAGAAAAAAAAGTATTAGCAAAATAAAATGAGAATTTAGTAAGAGATTGCTTAAATAATGTAAAAACTTTCCAAAAGTGTAAAAACCTTAGCCTTTTCTAGATTCTCAGCGTGGTGTACACTATCCTCATTAAATGTTATGTAGTAGCATAAAATAGATGAATTTTCTTTCATTATGACTTAAGCATTTTTCTGTGGTCTTTGTCATTCAGCTTGATTTGTTCCTTTTGTTCTGAATGAAGATATGCGAAAATAAAGGGAGAACTTCTCTTTTGTTAATTTTGATTTTATAATCACCAAATAATTGTTAAATGTTGTTAACTTAGAGGAAAATTGGCTGTGACCTATACTTTAACAGTTAGGCACAACTGTATACTAGTTATAATGTTCAGTAGTAGCCTTGTTTTATCTTGGGAAGCAAATCCCTTCTTGCTAAATATTAATGTTACAAATTGCCCCATGAATTAGATATGTATATTTATTTTTTCAAACAAAAATGTTCTATATAATAATTATTTTCAAATAAATTCTTATTTTAAGTTCACAAAAAGCCATTACAAGAAGTGGAAATAGCAGCAATTACACATGGTGCTCTCCAGGGATTAGCCTACTTACATTCTCATACCATGATCCATAGGTAAGCACTTTGAAAATTATCATACATTAATAAGCAAATGGCTAATTGCATTTATCAGCACTGGAACTCATTAACCCTGAAATTTTTGTTAGTTATAGCCAAATAAAAGCATTTCAGAATATTATAAACTCATATTTTTTAGATTGTCCGTGCCTTAAAAAGAACATACTAGTACACTTGATCTCTTTGTTTAGAATAATTTTTATCTTTGTCTACCCATGCTGCTGGGCTTTCTGAAATATGTGTATTTTATAGATTTGGGGTAGAAATTTAATTATATAATTATTTAATTTGTAGAATGGGAAGGACATTAGGGATCCATGTAGGTCTTTTTTCATTTTACAGATGAAGAAACTGATGTCCCAATTTGTGACCATTTTCTGAAGTTTACAAAGCCAGATAGAGTAGACTAGAATTAAACCTAGATCTTTTGTCTTTCTGGTAACTGATAATGCCAGATTTGTTCAATTGATTCCATGACATGGACATATAAAAGCTACTTAAAACTCTTTATACTTTTGATTATTAATCCTCGAATCTTTGATAATGCATAGTAACTTTAAGATTTTACACCATTTTATAATGCATTTTTAGTATTGGTATTGACTTTATCTGTTTTAGAAGGAAACATTTTTTGATTATATATGTGAACCAGACAACACATATTAAACTATATAGTAGAGTTATTGTGAGTTAATGGATTTTCATTATTTTAGGTGAGGATAGTAAATCCAAGAGAAATCCAATGCTAGTAGTAGATGAATGGAAGAGACGGAATTAGAACCTAAAGTCTTCTCAACTTCAGAGTGTTTCTTCATTTTTTAAAAACAAATAGAGGGAAAATAAATTTAGTATCATAGCCATTATAGTACTATAGTAAGGATTATCAAGTGCTTGGAATATAGTCTTTTTTTAAAAGGCTAACTATAATTATGGTACCCATTGGACATATTATATACTCCTATTATATAAATATCCATAATTCTCTTAGTTTGCATGGATAGTATATGTTTGCTTATTTAGAAAAGTAAACTTGAAATTAAATTTGGTTATCATTAATATTACATTATCCATATATGCCAGTTTTCGTTTTATATGAAGTTAGAATTATGCTAAGCTTTGATATGAATAACCCTTTTTTAAAAATTGGGAGGCATATTTGCGACAGCATGGATAGGTCTGGAGGGTATTATGTAAAGTGAAATAAATCAGGCAGAGAAAGACAAACACTGTATGGTTTCCCTTATATGTGGAATCTAAAAGAAAACAAAACAAAAAATAGGCTCATAGAAACAGAGACCAAATGGATGGTAACTGGAAGGGAGGGGGTTGAGGAGTACATGAAAAGGAGAAGGCAAATATTCAGTAATACTGTGATAAGTGTGTACAATGTGATAATTATTATAATTAGTGAGGTGATCAAATTGTAAGGTATAAAAATATTGAATCACTATATTGTATAACCAATATAAGATTGTATACCAATTATACTTAAAAAAAATTTTTTTAATTAAATATGAAAAAAATTGGGGGTATGTTTTTTAAGAAAATTGTTCCTGTATATTTATATGAATTCCGTATTTTTTGTTTTCTATTTGGATCTTAATGCTTATTCCAGTTGAGAGATTATTCTAGAAATTAATTATTTTGATTTCTTCTGTACTTTACAAATTTTTATTCGATTTTTATCATTTTCAACACAATCCAAAGAAAGGAAAAGAAATAATTTTCTGTGTTCCATAAACCCAGAGATATCAAAGCAGGAAATATTCTTCTGACTGAACCAGGCCAGGTGAAACTTGCTGACTTTGGATCTGCTTCCATGGCATCTCCTGCCAATTCTTTTGTGGGAACGCCATATTGGTAAGAGTAATCCTGTCTGGTAGTGATCCTCATAATTGAAATAGGCAATGTATGTTTGTACTTTTTCAGATGTCTTATCTTTTTCATGAAATATAATGTTATTTTGGACATTTTTACTTTAAACATTATAGTTTCAAATATAAATCTGGAGTGCTGCCCTCACATCTCCTATTTTTTCATTTGTCTTCCTTACATTTTCTTTCTTCTTATTATCTGCGTCACATATTGGGTGTGGAAGTGAAAAAATTCAATAAAAATTAAAGTAGGATGGAAGGGAAGAAATAGCATAGATGATAGAGACTTTGTTCATCCCTCTTGGAACCAAATCAAAGTTGTGATAAAACAAGGAGCAAAAAGCAAGCAAAGTGGCCTGGGATCTAGATAAACAGAAGCACTACAACTAGGGAGAAAAATATGAAATCATCCTGCAATGGTAGAAGGTAGGAGTGGGTGAAGATGCGAGGCTGCCGGGTCCTTAGTAGCTGAGTGGGACAGAGTCTGCAACAGCTGCAGACGCCTTATAAAGGGGCCACGTTGGCAAGCAGACTTTTGCAGTGACAGACCTGCTTGATCTGACTACCAGCGCCAAGTTGGCTGCTTGGGGTGGGGCACCAGAGACAGGGGAACGCTTGAGTTGTCGGAGTGAGGTCCGGAGGCGAGGCTCTCTTGGGCAGAAGTACCAGCAGTATCCATTGTTCCTCTCTTGAGCCCTTCTCCCTCCCAGTGTGCGGACTCCAGGCTGTCGTAGCTGAGATATCATCAAACTGGGTAACTGAGGTCACTCTGCCCAGAGGATACCCTGAAACTCTGCCTCTCCCAACTCATGGCCCCACCCAAGCCACATCCAGTTGTATTCTTGGTGAGTTCGGTGTTCCTTGCTGAGCCAACTCCAAGACTCATACTGGTGGCAGCTGACCTCGGTTTTTGGTGTGGCCTCTTGAGGCAACTATAAGCATAGCTTCTGTGGATTGGTTGCTGACTCTTAATAGGTGGCCCCAGAGGGACACAGCCTGGAGCCTGGAGCTGAACCCCTCTCAGGACTGTGCCATTGGACACCTACTACACAAAGCCATGCTAATAAGACCAGGAGATTTAAGAGCTTTGCTTGGTACGTAGAAACAGACACAGAAAGGCAGCCAAAATGGGAAGACAAAGAAGCAGAAACCATATGAGAGAATAGAACAGAGATCCGGGAATAATGCAGTCAAGCAATCTAACAGAGTTCAAAACACTTTATAAAGTTGCTCAGTGAACTGAGGGGAAGAGTAGATGAACTCAGTGAGAACTTAAAGAGGTAAAAAAATGTAAAAATGGAAATGGAAATTATAAAAGGAAACCAGTCAGGAATGAAGAACATATTATCTGAGATGAAGAGTACATTAGAGGAAATCAACAGAGTGAATAAAGAAGAGGATCGAACCACCAATATAGAGGATGGAGACACCAAGGGCACTCAATCAGAACAGCAAGAAAAAAGCCAAGACTATAATAATAATTTAAGGAGCCTATGGGACACAATTAATGTAAAAATATCCGTGTCATAGGGGCACCTGAAGGAAAACAAGAAGTTGAACTATTCGAAGAAATAATGGTGGAAAACTTTCCTAACCCGGTGAAAGAAATAGACATACAACCTTAGGAAACTCAGAGTCCCAAAACAGATGAACCCAAAGAGGCCCGTACCAAGACACATTAAAATTAAAATGCCAAAGGTTAAATACAAAGAGAGAATTTTAAAAGCAGCAAGAGAAAGCAGTTAGTTACCTACAAGGGAGCACCCATAAGACTGACAACTGATTTCTCAAAAGAAACTATGCAGGACAGAAGGGCTTGGCACAAAATATTAGAAGTGATAAAAACCCAGGATGCGTAACCGAGAATACTTTATTCAGCAAAGCTGTCATTTAGAGTCAAAGGACAGATAAAGAGCTTCCCAGACAAAAATAAGCTAAAGGAATTCATCACCAGAAAGCCACTATTACAGGAAATGTTGGAGGGACTTCTTTAAGAAGAAAAAACGTGTATCAAAATCATGAATAAAAAATGGTAATAACTACGTATCTATCAATAAGTATCTCAAATGGAAAAGAATTAAGCACTCCAACCAAAGGATAGAGTGGCTGAATTGATAAGAAAACAAGACCCCTACATATGCTGCCTACAAGAGACTCACTTCACATTAAAAGACACACACAGACTAAAAGGAAAGGAATAGGAAAAGATAATGCCTTGATGGACCTATAGGGTATTGCGCTGAATAAAATAAGATAAAGACAAATATCGCATGATTTCATATACATGTAGAATCTAAAGAACAAAATAACAACAAAAATGAAAATAAACTCAAATACAGAGGATATTTTGAGGGCTATTTGATGGGAGGGGGGTTAGGGGAGACGGCTAAAAAGGGCAAAGAGATTAAGAAGTATTCATGGATAGTTACAAAATAGACATGGAGATAAAAAGTATTATAAGGAAAATAGTTAACAAATATACAATATATGAGGGGGAAGCGGGGTACTAGATTTAGTGGGGTAATCACTGAGTTTTATAGATTTCTAATCACTATGCTGTACAATTGAAACTAATATACTGTTGTATGCCAACTATAATTGAAAAAACCTCTGAATCGTACAATGTAAATACAAGTAACTAATTGTCTATTATATTTTAGTAAAGCCAGGGAAAAAAAATTGAGGTGGAGAGAAGATAGAAATGCTAAGTGGAAATTTGTGTGTTTTCTTTAGGTTTATATTTACTATATGTCAGTGATCTTCAGACTAAGAGTACCTCAAGACGGTAGCTAATTGGGAATCTTGTGTTTTGTTTTTACTTTTTATTATGGAGAATTTCAAATAGACATAAAAATCGACAATTGTTTAAAGCCTCACATATCAATCGCTTATCTCAACAACATTATTCCATAGCCAGTCCTGCCCTATATACTTACTCCTCTCCCCTTCTTCTCTACCTACTGGGTTATTTTAAATCAAATTCTAGATACCATCAAATTTTAACCTTAAATACTTTTGTATTAATGTCAGCAAGCTTGAAGGGAATAATTTTCCAGATCTTCGACTTCTAACCATATGTATCTTCTTTCTCTGTATATACTGAGAGTGGTGTCTTAGGTCCACTACAGCTTTTTTTTCCCTCATGTGCCTTTCAAATATCCTTTCTCCCACTTGATAAAAGAAAAAAAAAATTACCCATCCTGAATATTACGATGATGCATTGCTCTGGGATGTAAAAGTCTCAAAGCAACACAGAGGGACAGTTTCAAAATATATAGCATCTATGAGAAATGTTGAAGAGTCAGGACACAGCTCTTGGTAAGGCCTTGTGCCTTTTCAGCCATCTCCCTTCCTTTATTTTACTCCTTGCTTTTTCTTTCTCCCCAATTATCTTCCCTCCCTTCTTTTTTTCTAGTGTAGAATTTTTAACTGAGTTGGTTGTCATAGGAACACATTAACATGTTATTTGTATTAAAATGAAGTCAGACTTTTTCTGACCAATGATTCTGATTTGACTGATTGATATGACCATGAAGACTCACTTTTCTAATTAAGTTACATGGCAGTATTTTTGATAAATTGAATGAGCCTATTCTGTGGCTCTAAGTTTTAAGTATCTTTAAAACATATATGCAATATACTATATGTGTGTGTGTGTATGCTGTGCATCTATTAAATTTTTAAAATTTGTCAACTCAAAAATGTGCAAGGGGATACATAGTTTTTATAAATTTATTGAAAGTAAATGAATAAAAAATATTTGAAGACCACTGCTCTAGAACACCCAAAATTTTTTATATGGATCCTAGTTTAGATAGCCTTCCCTTCCCTTCTGTTAAAAAAGCATTCTGTAGTATTTCTTAATGGTTCTCTCTTTAGAAATTAATGATGAACATTAGCTGTTAAGAAGACCCTGGGAAGTTCTGCAATAAAAAAAAAAAAATTACTTGTTTAATTTTCTTTAATTTAGTAAGTTCCCAAACTTACTCCAACATCTTAAATAACACATTGGAAACACCCTGTTATTTACAATTGAAAGTTTATTTTATCTACATATTTATTAATTTGTTTATAGTGTATTTGGAAACAGAAACTAGGCACATATTTATATGTCTTTACATAATGCACACATGCATGGGCGCACATGCACACACACATAAGTGCCTGGTGACAATCTCATTGAAGCAGTCAGCAACTGTTTTAAGTGTCTGTCTGTGCTTAATACCAAGTGCAAATGAAGTGTAGGGTTAAAGTACCATCAAGAATATTACAGACTCTAGTTGAAGACATGAATTGATGTTTCATTTTATAACTAAGACTCCTATATAGTTAATAATTATCTGAATATTTTAGTTTTGCCCTAGCCTCTTTTATTATAGAATACTATTCTTCTTTGAAAGAAAGACTGACAAACGATAGTTATTCAGTGTTATCGTGGTAGATATTTTCTGAAATAAATTATGTGAGCTTGTCACTTCAAAGAAAATAGCTGTTGTTCACTGCCAATGATAGAATTCATTCTTCTTAGCAAAAATTAGACTTTTGTAATGGGATCCCGAGACCAAAATTTGAGAACCATTGGCTTGAAAGATATACAGTATTAGAATCTGCAAACTTGAACAGATGCAGAATACAGCCCTGTTCTGGGGCATTCTTCCTTCAGGATGTTGTTATATGATCATGACAGATTGTGAGAATAAGTCTCACATTATCTGTGCAATGTAAATATTGACCTCGCAACCTGTAATGCATTAATTTCCCATTATAAAAATTATGTCCAGATATATTGTCTATAATTCACACAGGTGTTCTCCATATAGATGTTCATTATATTTTTAATAAATAACATACATTTTTTAAACTTTAATTTAAATAACATTTTATGTTTCAGGATGGCCCCAGAAGTAATTTTAGCCATGGATGAAGGACAGTATGATGGCAAAGTAGATGTATGGTCTCTTGGAATAACATGTATTGAACTAGGTAAGCATTCTTTTTTTTTATTAACTATACAGTAAGTTTTGATCAATGTTTTACCTCAATGTCTGTACCAAATTTCAGGCTTTTATTTTTTATGTCAGTTATTAAGGAGAACAAAAAACTTATTAAAGTTTTCACTTTTGTGATCTGGTAATTTACATATGTATACGTTTGCTTAGGTTTATTTGCTTCATTAAATTAGGTCTAAAATAATTTTCCACTGTGGTGTTACGTTTGAAGTATCTATGTTCAACATTAATGAGTATTTGTCAAACACCTAGAATATGTCTATGGTTACTAGATTTACTATCTATAGAAGGTCTCTAAAAGCGTTCATGAATTTCCCCTACCTGGGATACTTATGACCTTGAGTTAGGTATGAGAATTAGATGTCAGGCTACATACCATTGTAGCAGTTTGATTTTATGCACACATTTTATTCTGTTGCCCGTAAGTGGAGCTATGCTTAAGGCAGTGGACCATCATAACTTTATTAACATTCGCCTTGTATGTGAGCCAGGTGGGTAATTGAATTGTCACTGTAATTAAAGAGATGACCATCTTCTTGCTCTCGATTCCCCCAAGCTTCCCTCCATTAGCCCAATATCTTTTTCTTTTTCCTTCTAAGAATATTCCATTGAACTTTATTTAAAAGTGGAAAATATTGAGAACCATTGAGTCGTGACAAGATTAAAAATAACATGTTAAAGTAAAATTCATGTGTAACTTGGATAAATCATTATCAACCTGGGTTTGTCAGTAGTTTTCTGACAAACAAGTAGATGGGGAAATTGAGATATAATAAAAGCAAAGCTTGCTTGTCAATACACAGTAGATAAATATTGTAATTTCCATTACAAGACTTTCTATCTTTTGGTCTAATATTTTTCCAAAATAATCTTTAAATATTTTTACTTCTGTTGGAATTCCTACATAAAGCATTTCTTTCAGGGTTTATATCATATTTATTTTAAAGTTTGACAACATCAGTAACCAGAGATTTGGAGATTTTCATGTCATTCTCATCTGAACTCTTAGTCTCAATTTGAGGTTTTTAAAATGTTTCTTAAATTTAAAAGTATGTTTAAGTGTCTTAAACTCTATTTTTTTATCCTTGATTCTTCTTACTGGTAGATCCTAATTAATTTCTTCAGAAACCTGGATAAATGTAGAGAAGCTGGTTAATGTCTTGCCCATGGGGTATTTTTACATACTATGTCCCTTTGTGATAGTGAAATTGCATTAATGGTCCTATTAGAGATCATTGATATATTTTAATATTTACTTGATTGGAAAATATTAATTGGCTGATTCTACTCAGGAAGAAATCTGTCTAAATTATGCAGTTTCTGTGAAATGGCTTCTTATTTTTCTAGGCTTTCTAGCTTTTTATTATAGTTCATAAAATAGAATTCTTTCACAATGAGAGTTTTTACACTTATAACAAAGCAACTTCAGAAGCTGTGACTGCCTTTATATAATTTTAAATGAGTGAGACACCAAAGTTTTAGGCGTACATTTATCATCTTCAACTATTTTTTTTTCCCCTACTCCAGTCTGCCCTGCCTGACCGCAAAAAGACCCTGGCTCCATCTCACTTCTCAAACTTAAGGCAATCCCTGCCTTTTTCTCCCTATAGTCCAAGACTTCCGGATATAACTTTTATAATTCTGTTACTTTTGACATTATAATAGCCCTTAATTCATTTTTTTCATACTGTAACTATTCCTTATTCTGGAGCCCTGTTCAACTTTTTAAATAGTCTGTCGTGATAATTTTTTAGGATTTTACTTACTAATTTTTGAATAATGAAGTGCTAACTCAGGAACTGTATTTTAAAGATGATTCTGGTTCCAGGGTGAAGATCTAGAGTAGCACAGGCCAATAAAACTTTCTGCAGTGATAGAAATATTCTATATCTGCATGGCTTTCGAGTACTTGAAATGTGGTTTTTGCAACTAAGAAACTAAATTTTAAATTTTATTTCATTTTAAATAAGTTTGCATTTAAATAGTCACATGTGGCTAGTGGCTACCCTGTTAGACAATATATGTCAAGAGGCATGATTTTCAATGCAAATTAGATTTGCAGTCTTGGGAAGTATTTTATTTTATTTTATTTTATTTTATTTTATTTGTTTCAAGCATACAGTACATTGGTTACACATTTATATAGTTTATAAAATGATCCCCTAATTGCTCTTTCTCTTCTCTGGCTCTCCACCTAGCCAATACATTAATGCTAACTGCATTCCCTATGCTGTGCTCTCCATCCCCATGGCCATCTATCAGCTACTTATTTGTACTTCTTTAACCCTTCACCCCATCCTCCCAGTCCCCCAAACCTCTTCCCCTCTGTCACCAGATTGCCCTCTATATTTGTGAGTCTGTTTTTGATTAGTTTGTTCTTTTTGTTCCTTACATTCCACATATAAGTGAAATCATATGTTATTTATCTTTTCTCTGACTTATTTCACTCAGGATAATAATCTCTAGGTCCATCCATGTTGTTCAAATGGTAGGATTTCATTTTTTTAATGGCTGAATAATATTCCATTGTATATGTGAACCATAACTTCTGTATCCAGTCATCTGTTGATGGGCATTTAGGTTGCTTCTATATCTTGGCTATTGAAAATTGTGCTGCATGAATATTAGGGTGCATAGATCTTTACGAATTACTGGGTTTTTTTGTTTTTGTTTTTTTTTTGTTTTTGGATAAATACCCAGAAGTGCAATCGCTGGGTCAAAAGGTATATCCATTTTTAATTTTTTGAGAAACCTCCATACTGTTTTCCATAGTGGCTGTACCAATTCACAATCCCACCAACAATGTATGAGGGTTCCCTTTTCTCTGCATCCTCGCAAACACTTGTTCTTTGATTTATTGATGATAGTCATTCTAACAGGTATGATATCTCATTGTGGTTTTAATTTGCATTTCTCTGATGATTAGTGACCTGTCTGATCATATGTCTGTTGCCCATCTGTATTTCTTCTTTGGAGAAGTATCTGTTCAGGTCTTCTGCCCATTTTTTAATTGGATTGTTAGTTTTTTTATTGTTGAGTTGTATGAGTTTTTTATATATTTTGGATATTAACCGCTTATCAGATGTATCATTAGCGAATATCTTCTCCCAAGCAGTCGATTGTCAGTCTTGGAAAATTTATTATGTGTTTTTCTACTTTAAAATAGGGATATTGAATTAAAGAAAATTATTTTTTTATACACAAGAGAACAAACAAATCAATTGTGCTATCTTTCATTTTGATAAATGTAGATCTAAATAACTATGACTCACTCATACTTTGTTATCATAAAGGTTAAAATAATTTGGTTATGTCTTACAATCAAGAAATCTTAAAGTGCAGGATTTTTCATAGTTGAGTTTGTATGTTTATAATTAATCTGATTAAAAAGATACCTAGTTCGTTGTTTTTTAGGCTATGTGCATGATCATACAATCATCTTTATAAAAATAAAATTTATCATTTTTTCTCATTAAAAAGGTATGTTGAGGATATTAAATTTCAAAAATATATAAAGGAGTAAAAAGAAAATAAAGCAACTTTAACAACAGCAATTTGTTAATCAATACACAGGATAAAAAGATGTAAATTGTAACAAAAATGAAGTGTGGGGAGTATACATATAGAGCTTTAAAATTCATTTGATGTTAGTTATCAACTTAAAATAGACTATTATAATCTTAAGTTGTTTTATGTAAACCTTATGATAACCACAAAGTAAAAACTTACAGTCAAGACACAAAAGATAAAGAGAAAGGAATCTGAGCATACCACTAAAGAAAATTGTCAAATCACAAAAGAAGCAAGCTAGAGAAGAAGGGAACAAAGGAATCAGAGAAGAGTGAACAAAACAGCAATAAGTAGATATCTATCAATAATTACTTTAATTGTAAATGGAATAAATTCTTTGTTCAAAAGACATATAATGGCTGAATAGTTTTAAAAAAATAAGATTCATCTATATGAGTCTTACAAGAGACTTTTCATATGTAAAGATACACACAGACTGAAAGTGAAGGGGATGGAAAAAACCTTCCATGCAACTATAAACCAAAAAAAAAAAAAAAATGGGCATCTATATTTATATCAGACAAACAGACTTTAAAACAAAGATTGTAATAAGAGACAAGTCCATTGCCTAATGATAAACAAGTCAGTACAACAAGAAGATAAAACATTTGTAAATATTTGTGTACCCAACATAGGAGCACCTAAATATATAATGTAATATTAACAGACCTAAAGGGAGAAATGGACATCAATACAATAATAATAGTATGAGACACTAATACCTTACTTTCATCAATCAGTAGATCATCCAGACAGAAAATCAGTATGGAAACATTACCCTTAAACGACACCTTTGACTTGATTGACATAACAGACATATGCAGAACATTCCAACCGAAAGCAACAGAATACACATTGTTCTCAAGCACACATGGAACATTCTCCAGGATAGATCACATTAGGCCATAAAACAAGTCTTAACAAATCTAAGATTGAAATCATACTAAGCATCTTTTCTGACCACAATAGTATGACGTTCTAAATCAATGACAAGAAGAAAACTGGGAAACTCACAAAATATATGGACATTATACAACATGCTACTGGAGAGAAGGGAGCCAGGAGGAGTGGAGATGGGCACACTGGTGGCAGGGAGTGGAATCTAGGAGAGAGTTCCCAGACTCAGGAGTCTCAATGAGCCCAAGGAGTGGGGGGTTGTCTGTTCAGATCCTGAGACACACAGGGGAGTTAGACCACCCCAGTTGGCTCAGGAAGTGTCACTGCTTCTCTCTTACTTTGGTGTCACTTGTTCGCATTGCCCTTGGCCACAGTCACTGACAGGACACACAACCCCGGAGAGGGTCAGGTAGGCCCCAGAACAGATTAGCACTCTAACTGCCTCAGCCTCTCCCACAAGCTTCAGGGTGCCTGTTCCCTCTCTGCGATCCCAACACAGGGTCTATC